TCCTCCTTTCACCACGTCGCCTTCTAACCCTGGCACGACCATCGTGCATGCCTAAACAAAATCGAGACCCGTCACTAAAGACAATACTGTTCCATTCCTGATCCCAGAGTGACCGTTGTCTGCACCACTCAAGGCGATTACGTCGGTGTCCTCGAGTTAAAGGGAGGACCCAGTGTGGCCGGTATGAAAACAAGCCAAAACTTCTCATTCGTCGGTAAACACTTCGCATGCCAATAGGTCTTCCGTGTTCTGCAAACCATTCATTTGCAATGGACCTGGTAGTGGAAAAACGGTCCCTTAAGGCCAATAATCTTAGGCGGCGATCTTCACGGTCTGTTGTTCTACGGCGGCGTCCAGTGCCCCTTGCTCTTTGCGTACGGCATTCTCGAAGCCATGCCCGACAACACCTAACCACAGTGTCTACACTTCTTTGCACTCTAACTGCAATTGCCCGAAAAGAAAGTCCAGCTTCCCGAAGTCCCACTATACGGCCCCTAACAAACTCACTAAGTTGACGAAATCGTACAGGTCTCCGTACTCTAGGCATCGTAACCGATCGTAAAGGATGTCAAGAACCAAAATCCGCCAACGTTGATTCTTTACTGCGGCTGAAATATTCATTTTTAGAGCGTTAGTGAATTAAAAAAAAGCAGTATAAAAACCGGAATGTCCAACTGATAAGGCTGAAAATTTTTTCACTTGTTATTTACAGTAAGATAAATACATTCACCAGCTTTTATTAAAATAAAACCATTTAAACTGGGTGTTCGGATTTATATGTCACTTAGTATACGATGCAAATTCGTTCTGGACCATGAGAAACTGTCCGTTTAAAGGAGGTGTCCGCGAAGGGGAATTTCACTCTACTATACACGGAAACTACGCAATTTTGACGACAAACAATGCAATGTAAACATATAGGCTTGGCTTCCATCTAATCTATTCGAATTCGTTGAGCCCAACGAACTCCTCACCTGTCCGCTAATCGAAAACAAATTTCACGAGTACCGTTACTCTTTTTCATCTAACGATCACTTGCTCAGATGACTTAGAAAGGAGCTAGCGTGGACTTAAAGACTAGTATGACTTTCCATATCGTTTAACTAATAGTCCAAGAATTACGGAGTTTTCATTAATAAAATAACGTACACTGGAAACATAATTCCATACGAGAATTTAAGAGGTGTAGACAGTTTTCCATTCTCCCCATTAGGACCCCCAGGATTGATAAATTCGTTTATAGATCCTTTGTAGAATAAGATAGGGCTAGCGCGCGATCTACGCATGCGTGCAGTTTCGGAGTTTCTCTTATTTTCTCTTGTTAAAATTTGCATATTGTAACAATAATTAATAGTTCTGTTGGGAGACTCTTCTACTCGCCAGAGCTTCACGGCCGATCTCTGTTTTTACGCGGATCACGACCGCACATGCCGCTTGGCGACACCTGTGAGGACCGTGCCAGTGACTCTCCTTCTAGATCGACGCGAAGCGACCTCGACTATTCTAGAAGGCCGCTATGTGGCTCACCGGATTCTTCTCGACCCAACGATGCGGAATATATAACTCGACGGCCGGGAGAGGGAAGCAGAGTGTGGTAGAGTAGAGCAGAGTGGAGTATAGTTCAGTCGATAACGCGACATAAGAATTAGTCAGACATAAATAGTGTTGTACATAAATGTTCTATCAAAATAAAAAATAAACCATAACATTTGGCAGTAAGGAGAGCTAAGTTTGTTAAAATAATGAATAGTTCTGTTGGCGTCATCTGTTGGGAGACTCCCCTACTCGCCAGAGCTTCACGGCCGATCTCTGTTTTTACGCGGATCACGACCGCACATGCCGCTTGGCGACGTGTGTGAGGACCGTACCAGTGACTCTCCTTCTAGATCGACGCAAAGCGACCTCGACTATTCTGGAAGGCCGCTATGTGGCTCACCGGACTCTTCTCGACCCAACGATGCGGAATATATAACTCGACGGCCGGGAGAGGGAAGCAGAGTGTGGTAGAGTAGAGCAGAGTGGAGTATAGTTCAGTCAATGACGCGACATAAGAATTAGTCAGACATAAATAGTGTTGTACATAAATGGTCTATCAAAATAAAAAATAAACCTTAACATTTGGCAGTCAGGAGAGCTATATTTGTTAAAATAATGAATAGTTCTGTTGGCGCCATCTGTTATGAGACTCACCTACTCGCCAGAGCTTCACGGCCGATCTCTGTTTTTACGCGGATCACGACCGCACATGCCGCTTGGCGACGTCTGTGAGGACCGTGCCAGTGACTCTCCTTCTAGATCGACGCGAAGCGACCTCGGCTATTCTGGAAGGCCGCTATGTGGCTCACCGGATTCTTCTCGACCCAACTATGCGGAATATATAACTCGACGGCCGGGAGAGGGAAACAGAGTGTGGTAGAGTAGAGCAGAGTGGAGTATAGTTCAGTCAATGGCGCGACATAAGAATTAGTCAGACATAAATAGTGTTGTACATAAATGTTCTATCAAAATAAAAAATAAACCATAACATTTGGCAGTCAGGAGAGCTAAATTTGTTAAAATAATGAATATTTCTGTTGGCGCCATCTGTTGGGAGACTCTCCTACTCGCCAGAGATTCACGGCCGATCTCTGTTTTTACGCGGATCACGACCGCACATGCCGCTTGGCGACATCTGTGAGGACCGTGCCAGTGACTCTCCTTCTAGATCGACGCGAAGCGACCTCGACTATTCTGGAAGGCCGCTATGTGGCTCACCGGATTCTTCTCGACCCAACGATGCGAAATATATAACTCGACGGCCGGGAGAGGGAAGCAAAGTAGGGTAGAGTAGAGCAGAATGGAGTATAGTTCAGTCGATGACGCGACATAAGAATTAGTCAGACATAAATAGTGTTGTACATAAATGTTCTATCAAGTTAAATAAATTAGTGCATTTCTTTTTGTGGAATCCAGTGTTTCAATTCACATCCAGAAGAACCCAGAAAAACGCAAAATATCAATCAGAAAACTTTTTTACAATTTTTGCCCCTTTGTGGGAATAGCTGAATCAATGGAGACTTATCCAGCCCGTTTTGAGGTTTGCAGTCGTTTCAATTTCGTTACTATTTTCAAATATAATCATTTTCAAATGGACAAAAAGGAGAAAAAACGATGTCCGATTACCCGTCGCTCAGTATTTGAAGCTTGATTTGACTGTACTATAAGAAGGTATGTTTTAATGGGTTAAAGGCTCTGGTATTTGATAATGTTGATAAACACCGCATTGGAGTACTGCATTTACGTAACGATTTACTTGATGAGGCACAGGTGCAATAGTTATAGACGCACGAGATATATTAAGTGTAGCACACTCTAGCACTTTGTACATTTTTTGTTAGGAGACTTCTCCGCAATCAGGAAAATATGCTAAAAATCAAGCAATTTCGCATTTTTTTAAATCTGGTTCGTTTCTCGACTTTTGTTTTGGGCGCAGTTGGAAACATTTTTATTTAATTATTTAAAAAATTGCAATTTTGGAGTTACGCGTTCTTGTTAACTTTGATTATTTTAAGGCGTAGCAAAAATATATCAGGTGGTGCGATATTTTAAATTGTATTGTTCGCTAAAACAATGTATACCTGACAACAACATTGAAAGATGCAAAATATTGGCAGCAACCAAATTTCTTGATAGATACTGAAAAGCGCCAACCGAAATTTTGATCGAAACTAAAATTAAACTTCATCTATTTTAATTGTACACCTAAAAGTTTTTAGGAAAGGTACTTTCGCGTTATAAGTAGTAATTTTACGATCTCATTTAAATGCCACTAGATTTTGGGGATTCTGTTTTTAATGCTTGATAGTGTATTGGAAATGTTGATTCCCTGACATCTATTGATTAAATAATTTTGTAATATGTTGAATACTAAATCCATAGTAATGCAATTTTGTTGACCATTTCTTCCTGTCAATAGTATGAAATGCCCTCTTGAAATCGAAGAACAAACCTTTTATCATCCATATTTCGACTCCATCCTTCTACCTACTACAATTTGAATTGCAGATTCAGTAGAATATTTTTTCTAAATCCTACTAGAAATTTTGTCAATGTGTTGTTTCAATATATTCAATGATGTGTTCATATACAGGGTGTTTCACTTTATTGTTGCATAACTTTAAGATTCGATAGAACTTTTAAAATTAATGCATAAAGTCTATATAAAAAAAATGCGTGGCTTCCGAAATACAGGATGTTTAAATTTACTTTGTGAAATAGTTTTTTGGTACGACAAAACGAACCATGGGCATAGTTTTACTGTAGCCGATGGAGGGCGCTCTCTACTGTACCTGTAGTGTATTAAAATGACCGAAAATTTTTTCTTAGTGACATTTTTTGCTTTTTGAATAAAAAACTGATTCTTCGCACTTTTCAACATAAAAAAGCTCTCCTGTGAGTTTTCGTTATAGTTAGCCGTTTTTGAGATATTTCGATTTTTCAGGTACCGATGCATTTTCAATTATTTATGGGAAAATAATATTTTTCGGCAGCACATTAATTGGCCGAATTTTTGTAAATAACTCAGAATTTTTAACTTTTGCCACAGGAGTGATTGTAAGAACATTTTAGCTTTGAAGCAAATTCGCCATGCACTAAACAGTTATTTACTAGCAATAGTAGAACCTTTTTTTAAAATGTTCACTAGGATTTCCATTTGATTTTAATTTGAAACAGCTTTTGTTGGATTGCTGATGTTTTCTTTTTTGAAATCACAAATATCGCATACACAAACGTTCGCTTTCAGGCATGAAATTGCTAAAACTTCTGATGTGGTACATAAGTGTTGCGATTTTGGAAAATGCGATTTGCTTGCAAAAAAATGACAGTATTTTAATAACCACCATGAAGAACACTTTAATTAATGATACAAGTGATTATGGATTTAACCTATTTGAGACTAGTGTTTCTCAAACGATATTCGATTTACTTGCATTATAAAAGAAACATCTGTCTTGTTACAGACGAATGTGGGGCCAATCCTTCTTTGTGTCAATCCATATCGAGATGTGGGAAACCCTCTAACGTTGAGCAGTACAAGAGGACTTGCCCTCAGCCCTCAACTAAACAAAGTTGTACAGGAAGCTGTGAGACAACAGTCTGAAACTGGATACCCGCAGGCGATCATACTGTCAGGTAAAATTCCAATTTTTTGTTAAACAAATTCGCATTATTTAAGCTTAATATAACACTGATCAACAGCCAAAAAATATCCTAAATAAAATCAACAAAATATTACTATTTTTAATGTGCTAAAACCGGAATGAAACTTATTCTTTCAATATTAGTTCAAGTTTTAGAGATACGGTAATTATATGTGTTCCTGCTGTGACAGTGTTAATATACTGTAATTCACAAGAATGCACGTGCTACATTTTTATATTCGGCAAGGAAAGATGATGTAATCGGCATGATTGTGTTACGTTATACATACGTGTACATTATATTGTTTTATAGAGCCATTTTTTCCTCAGTTGGCTGACAGCGTTCATGCAAGATGTCTCGAAAGTGTGTAAACAATCCAGATCAGTTTTGTTACGTGTGTGGTGATGTGACTTTTGTGTCTTAGAGACGATCTATTACTCCACTAAGAACAAAGGCATATCAGCTTTATTTCGGTTGTAAACTAGGTGATCAAGACAAACAGTGGGCACCCCACATCTGCTGTAATACATGTGCTTCAAGTCTGAGGAGCTGGTTAAATGGCAAAAAACGGTCTATGCGCTTTGCTGTCCCAATGGTTTGGAGAGAGCCTACAAATCATATTAATGATTGTTACTTTTGCATGGTACCTTGTGTTAGACAAGCCACAGGTATGTCCAAGAAAAAAAAATCGGTTATTAACTACCCAAACATACCATCTGCGATGAGACCTGTGCCTCACAGTGACGAAAATCCAATTCCAAAACCCCCAGAATCCTACACTTGCGAATCAGAAAACGAATCAGATCATGGCGATCGAGTGATTCGTCAGGAAGAAGATATGCCATCAACGTCAAGAGATCCTGATTTTATACCGAGCACGTCATGCCACCAACCGCACAAAATAACACAGTCAGAATTAAATGATCTTGTAAGAGATTTAGAACTTCCAAAATGTAAGGCACAGTTACTTGGATCAAGACTGCAGCAGTGGAAATTGTTAGAAGACGATGTTTCGGTATGTGTTTTTCGTAAGCGCCACAAAGACAGAACCATTTTTCAATATGGAGAATAACTTGGTTTTCTGCAGTAACATTAACGGCTTACTGGCGGCTTTAAATATAAACTATAACCCAGAAAAATGGAGATTGTTTATATTGGAAATATTTTACCATCTCTTCCTGTAGGGTATGCAGTTCACATGAAAGAATCATATGACAATATGAAGTACCTATTGACATGCATAAAATACGATGAGCACCAATGGCATATTTGTGGCGATTTTTTTCCTGGCACTACATATGTACATCTCCGGAAGTAATGGGTGCGCCATCTATTACTTTTTTTTTACCTATAAGTGTATGTGTTACGATTGCGATTTAATACCTCTTCACTATTTTCTTTGGGGATTTTTGAAAGGAAAAGTGTATGCGAATGGTCCCCGGACAATTCAAGACCTAACGCGCAATATTTGGACTGAAATTGCGGCCATAGACCCTATTATTCTGGGAAAAGTCATTGGAAATTTTGATGTTCGGATGTTGGCATAAATCAAGCTTCATTTATCAATAAAAAAATTCGATTTCACCTCGTAAAAAGCGTGTTGATTTTTCAAATAGAAAAAAAAAATAAATAGATGACACACCCTTTGAATTTAAGCGACTTCGTATTTGTTACGGTTTCCGAAATCAGAGGTTAGGGTGTATTTGAAACACATGCTAGAGTTACAACGTAATCACCTTTATTTTACAGGTTCCAGTGGCTCTGGGAAGAGCCATGCTTCAATGTTATTGCTACGGCAGCTTTTTGCTGTAGCTGGAGGGGGGCCCGAGACTGACGCTTTCAAGCACTTAGCAGCTGCCTTCACAGTATTAAGATCTCTGGGATCTGCCAAAACTACCACCAATTCTGAATCTAGTAGAATTGTAAGTATTTTGGAAACGCAACGTTATGCGACCTAATATTTTAAAGCCAATCTTGGAACTTCATTATAGGAAGATTCAACAACAGTATAATATTTCTAATGAAGAAATAAAACGATATGATCCTAAGTAAAGGAAATATGTGCATTAGGTAACACTTTAACTATATTCAAAACAATTTCAATTACAGGAAAAAAACGTGAGGTGCTTGATATTAAATTATTAGTTGCTATTTACCAAATTGTAGTTATTATGTAAATATAGTTAATGCACCCCACACGTTTTTAATATAATCGCATTTTTGTTAATATCTAAATTTTTATATTGATCTTATTCTAAATCAATAAGTCATACATGATTTTTGGACTCACTATCGCAGTAACATAAAATTTCCTAACCTTGAAAATTATTTCCTTCCTTTCAGTTAGATTTGCTATTAAAGCGTGTTTTTCTTAGTTTCTTAACTATAATTTATTTTCTGAATGCTTAGTCTCAAAACAACAACAAAAATACTTATAATCAAGAGCTTATATTGCTGGTATATTTCATGTGACAATAAATCTAGATTTGCTTTCAACTTTTTTCAGATTTCGAAATTTCCAAAAATTTTCCAAAATTTACAATTTTTTTACAATTTCCAAATCTTCAAATTATTTTCCAAATATTCAAATCCAAATTTTTACATATTTAAAAATTCAGATTTTTGAAAATTTTTTTAGATTATACTTTTCATGATTATATCGGCTCTTTACCTCTAAGCAAATTTTCAAGTTTCTTACATTAAAATTAAATGATGAGAATGATTTTTTTTTATTCTAAGAACATTACAAGCTTATATGGTCACCCTTAAAATAACTTCCTTCATTAGCCACAGAGCGCTGGGGGCGTATACGTATGTATACGTAGATAAAGCAGTGTTGCCAGGTCTGGTGAAATTTCACCAGATCAAGTGATTTTATGAAAAATCTGATGGTTGGTGAAAAACTTTTTGGAAATTTTTTGCAAAAATTTAATATTTTTAACGATCTTTCAGCTACCAAAGACTCCAATAATTACTGAATTTTCGAACCGGTTTTGCGTCTCGCGACTGCGCGTATTGTAACGTTACGTATCGATCAAGTCTGACCATCACTTCGGTCTTCGATATCTTTCCGGTGATAACTCTAAACTGTTGTGGGATTCACCGCAGTATTTTCGTTGTTCTTGTTTTGGTTTTTGTCATGAACACGTTATCCATTATCTGATAAAAATCTATGCGTTTTATAACTTATTTTTGAAAGTATATAGTGTTCATCATTTTTGAATCCTATTAAGCTGATAACAGTTCGTTTGTGCATTTTAAAATTTGTTTTGGTAGAAAATATGGATTTTTATAATAATTCTGATCTGGGTATTAAACAGTAGTTGGAAATCATACAAAAACAACATGAAAAAATGTATCTTAGGTACTAATAAAATAATATTTTACTTTTACTAAATAATTTAATTATTAAGTTATTTATAAACATTACAAATAATTTTTTTCGTTTACAACTGCTAATATAGCTTAAAAATTAACTTTTATAATTATTGGTCATTTTTTGTTTAAATCTGGTGATTTTTCATTCCGATTTCTGGTGAATTTTTGATAAAACTAATTATTATTCTATTTCAAGGGCCAATTTATCGAAGTCCAAGTAACAGATGGCGCATTGTACAGAACGAAGATCCACTGTTACTTTCTGGATCAGACGAGGGTGATAAAACCCTTACCAGGTGAAAAGAATTACCATATCTTCTACCAAATGCTCGCGGGCCTTTCGAATGAGGAACGTGCGAAACTGAACTTGGAGGGACATAAGCCTTCAACGTTGAGATACCTTCAGTACGGAGATACCCGGCAAAACGTGGTCGAGGATTCCAATAGGTAAGCATTTAGTAAAGCCAAAGCTGATATCTGATATGCCTTTTGTAATATGAATTCTATGGTGTGTGTGATAATAGTTATCCGAAAACTATAAAAAAATCTGTGTACTTTTCAAATTAGAGGCTTTAAAAAGAATTGGTGTGATGATTTTTCAGTTCCCATTACTATAAATTTATAAATCCAAAGTTATAAAACCTATAAAACGTCAAAAAAGACTATAAAATTTCATCTTGCAGACTAGGTAGTTTTTAGGGTGCAAACATTCCAAGTTTGCTCACTAGGATGGCTGTGAGCGTCCATCTATGGAGGAATGGCTCAACTACACCACTACATGCATTGCTGGTCACATATGTCTTGTGAAGCCGAGTAGTCTATAGTTTTAATCTCTAATAAGAAAGTTGGTTGGATAGTAAGATCGCATCTGGATGATTGTGTGTATTGGTCTGCACGCGGAGAAAATCAGTGATATTTGCTGTGTCTTTGAAGCAGATTATACATCACATCAGAGCCGAACATTGATAATTGACATCTGGTAGAAAAAACCACATAATGTCACAAAAAACCTATATAATGTAAAAAAAATCGACATAATGTCACTTTTCAAGATACGTAGTAGTGCCGAGCCGTTCCCATACTCACGTATTCTGGCTGCAAGCTATACCGCCCTTGATACACGGCGGCGTAACTCTGGTTGCCTAAACGATGTTTCTGAACACCTTTAGAGTCTGGTCGATATACGAGGGTGTCGTTGGTACCCAGAGTTTCAGTTATACAAAGGCGTTACAATATCTCTAGCTGATTTCACAAATTGAAGAATTTATTTTTTTCCAGGTTCCAAGCTTGGAAAATGAGCCTAGGCATCCTGGGCATTCCATTTTTGGACGTAGTTCGAGTACTAGCAGCCGTACTTCTTCTGGGCAACGTGCAATTTACGGACGGCAAAGGACTCGAAGTCGAAGTGAAGGGTGAAGCAGAACTGAATGCTGTAGCAGGACTATTGGGTGTGTCAGGCGCCGCACTTTTCCGAGGTAAGTGTTTCTTTCCACTTCAGAACGATCTTTTTTGTCAAAGTTAAGCGATATTGATAAGCTCAGTTGTAGCGTTTGCAGCATCACTTTACCAATCGCTTTACCAGCTATTACAAGCTTTTATTTAACGTGACTTTTTTGTATGTTAGTATGTCTGTATATGTGAGGTAAATCTTGGAACCGAATTTTAAACCAGTTAGCCTTGACCAGGTCAGCTGAAATTTTGTACACCGTTTGGTTTACGTGACACTATAAAGTGAGCTATACTATAACTATCTAAAACTGTAATGACTCATCGATGTTCACGTGAACATCACTTAACTACCAGTAGTCGGCTGTTCATAGGCGGGGTATGAATGTTTAACATGGGTGAACTAGATTTGTCACATGCTTAATAAAGAGTGATTTGAAACATATTGTAAGTCAAAAATTTGGGAATTACCTTTATTCATCGTCGCTTCCACTTACATCTGACAGTAATAAACTGTCGCTATCGCTTTCCTCGTTGAAATTGACTATAACTGGCTCTATGATGGTGTCGATGTGGTGGTCAAGCTGCCACATTTTTGTTTCTTCCTTCACAACATGACGGATAGCATTCTGTCAAGCTTCAGGCGTTACTACCTGTATGGAAGTCTCAAGTAAAACCTTAACGTCTGGTAATTTGAAGGTTGTGTTATGGCGCGCAATATAACCCTTCACTTGAGCCCAGATGAGCTCTACTGGGTTCAGTTCACAGTGGTAGGGCGGTAACCGCAGCACAGTGACACCACATTGACGGGCCATCTCATCAGTCACGTAATTAATGTTCGCAGGTTTGTGCTGTTTAATTTTTTCATACAATTCCGCTTTCACACATGAATCGTCAAACGGGATTCCTTTTTCGCGCAACCATTGCTGCATGTCACTTTTTCGAGATTCCATAGTCGGTACACGTTCGGCTCGACGACTATGGTAGGAAGCATTATCCATGACGATCACAGAGTTGGGCTCAACTCGCTGAAGCACCCCTTGAAACCAGCTCTCGAAGCAGCTGGCATTCATTTCGTCATGGTAATCACCTCCTTTCTTAGAGACGAAAATCAAGTCACACTTTTCTAAAAAGCCACTATCGCTACCAATATGAGTTACGATCAATCTTTGACCTTTCCCTGACGATCCACGAAGACCTGTTAACAAACCTTCAATGCTTGCTTGTCGGTTACTCACTACGTTTTTGTCTATCCAGGTTTTTTTAACTGTGTGACCTGCATTTACCCATGTCTCGTCCAAATAATAGATTTTTCTGCTTTGTCGCCTATATTCAATCATTTCGCGTAGGTATTTTCGACGCCAGGCGACTATTTCAGGTCTCTCTATCAATACTGACTTCCGATTACGCGTTTCGTAACGAAAATTAATTTCGTGCAGGGATTTCCTCATTACCTCGACGCTCATTTGGGGTATAATTTCATTTTCCTTGATCGCTGCATGTACACCCTTGAGGGTTGGTATCTCATTCCTAAAGAAGAATGAATGTACGGTTCGCCTTAACGCCATTTTGCTATCGTCATCCAATTTAACGGCCTTTCGTCCCTTCAAATTAAACTTTGGATCAGTAGTAGTAGATTTCTTTCGCGTCCCTCTTCAGTGCTTTACGAAGCCGTCTACTTGTTCCCTGGCTTTCAGTACTTCCACTCGTGCCATTTGTACTCTCCATGGTTAAGTATAACCAAAACAGTAACCACAGAAACCACAACAATAACAATCACACAACAATTCTTATAAAAACACACAATATGCGATCGCTCAACGAAACACGTTCCAATGCGTTGCCGACGCCTATGAGTCTGCCGGTCGAGGCGCGTCTTTGACTTCATTGGTTCTACCGGCGGAGAACAATCAGCCATTATTTCCATCTCTGTCTGTGCTGTTGACCACCGCAAAGCCACAGAAACGACATATGTCGTACGCTATACGGCTGTACTGGAAGGAAGCCGGGATCGAGCTCTGATCACGTGTTGATCACGCGTATGAGTCATTACAGTTTTAAATAGTTGTAGTATAGCTGCCGCGATTTTGAATCCAACATGGCGGAAGGTACAACTCGAAAAAGCAAGGCTATTTGTTTAGGGCTAAGAAGTACTTCTCTCCACGTGACCTGCTCACTCTGTGCAAGACCTAGATAAAACCTAGCCACGAGTACTACTCACAAGTTTGGGGTGCAGCCGCGGTGCGCTGGCATTTAGGCTTCTGCTTGCTTCGGTAAAAAAATCTTACATGAACGATTTTTTTCATAAATTATCTATTTCTGTGCTGAAAACAATTCCTAACAGCTTCGAAATTTTATTTGACTTAGCACATGTATTGGAGTATTTTTCAACTTATTCGATTGCGGACGGGCATACGAGTAAATTAAATGACAAGACTGAAGCTTAACTGGTAGCATTTATGTGCATTGATGTTGATCTTATTAGTACTACACCACCGAGTTAAATTTATAGGAAACCCTGTAAGATTTCCGCATCGTGCATATGTCTCATCAGTGTTCTGAATAACTGAAGATAATCTCCGAAAATCAAATGACTGCTATTTGATGTAGCTTCTGCAACATCGTTAACAAATCAGTTAAATAAAACTGGACCAATATGGGAACCTTGAGGTGCACCTGAAACGACACTGATCGGAATAGGTAATGAGCCAGCATATCTGACACACTGTATTCGTTCTTCGTAGCTTCTAAACCAGGATAGTTGGCCGCCTGATAATCCTAAACGTTCTAATTTAGAAAAAGGCAGATCGTGATTTACTCTGTCGAAAGCTTTCGTATAATCTGAGTAGATGGAGTCTACTTGAAGCATGCATAATTGAATTTGTAGTAGTTGATCTTCCTGCGGTAAAGCCATGCTGTTGGTCATTACTTAAATGTCGAGTAGTATCAACTTATTAACACACCATTCATGAATACAATCAACGGTTCATTGCAGATACAATACCATCATCCATGGTGGCTATTTCGGAGAATACTTTCAATATCTAGATCGTTTATAAATAGAATAAATAGAAGTGGTCCAAATTTTGACCCTTGTGGAATGCCTGAACTTACTTTGTATGTGTTATGATGGTGGTGCCGTGTTCTATCACATAAATACGATTTGCAAAAAGAAATTAAACTTTTTGAGAAGCCGAAACCATCTAGTTTTTTATCATGAACCACTAGCCCGGCCCCTCCAGTGTTGCCAGATCTAAAGTCACGTTGCCAGACTCATCACTTAATTTACAGACCTCCGTATTTATTCGTTGTAGAATTTGCATCCGTTATCATATTGCTGCAGATCTGTGATACTAAAAATCGTATTTTTCCAGGTCTGACGACCAGAACGCACAACGCGCGTGGGCAGTTGGTGAAATCGGTATGCGATGCGAACATGTCGAACATGACCAGGGACTGCCTAGCGAAGGCTTTGTACTGCCGTACCGTGGCGACGATCGTCAGGAGAGCGAACAGCCTTAAAAGGCTCGGTTCCACTTTGGGCACGCTGAGCTCGGATTCGAACGAATCGGTACACAATCAAGCTGAAATCACCAGTCAACATGCTTCTACCATAGGAGGAAGCACGAACGCGGGCAGCAAATCGATGGCTGCATTGAATAATGCTGTCCGACATGCAACTGATGGATTCATAGGTAAAACGTATAATGCAATACCGGTTTGAACTTTCCTTTTCTTAAACAACTAACGCTTAAATTATTTGTTGTTATGCAGCTAAACAGATGCCTCGATAAACGTACTTTGAGGGTAGTGTCAGCATGTTCCATAGTCAGAATAATAGAAACTGCTGTGTCTAAAATAAGTAAAAGAGTCTGTGTGATAATATAATAATCCTAAAAGTGGTATTAGTAAATCAGTCAGTTATATATTGGCCACCCTGTATAAAAGGTATACGTATGCAATAAACATATTGCACACTGCTCTTTTACAAAAAACGGCTTTGGGGATAATTACAAATTCTAGTAATGGATCAACGTGCAGAAATCTTTTCAAAAATACAAATACGAGGGTTGTTTGACAGATAAGGTTCCCAGATTTTTTACAGGCACAAGGAATTTTTTATTTAAAAAAAACGAATTCGCTATTGGAAACGTTGATCCAATTATTGTGTATTTTGTTGAATGTTATACTTTTTATGTTTGTACTATGTAAACTTCTGTTCTCCCACCAATAACTGGTTGATCTGTTGGTGGTGCAAATAAATAAATAAAATAAATCAAATAAATAAGTGGATTCTGCTGTTGAGCAATAATTTTTAAATAATTTTTAATAATATAAACTAACTCTCTCATATAGATGATTTTTGGTATATCAACTTCTTTTGGCACGTTCCACAAGCTGTTAAAATAAATGACTCAACTTTCAACTTATTATTATTATTTGCACCAAAAGGCTGGTTATCAATAACTCGTGTTTCAACAGGCATCTTGGACATGTTCGGTTTCGAAGATCCAAAACCCAGCCAACTAGAACATCTGTGCATAAACTTGTGCGCGGAGACGATGCAGCACTTTTACAACACGCACATTTTCAAGTCGAGCATCGAATCCTGTCGAGATGAAGGAATCAACTGCGAGGTGGAAGTGGATTATGTCGATAACGTGCCCTGCATTGATTTGGTCTCTTCGTTACGTACCGGGCTACTCAGCATGCTGGATGTGGAGTGCTCTATCCGCGGCACTGCAGAATCCTACGTCTCCAAAATTAAGGTACAATTCTTTTTTACTGTATTTTCAGACCAGCGGAAATACACGACTAAGTACGATTTCACTATACCCCATTCGTAGTCCATTTACGCCCACACAAAACAAAACATGCCCAAAAGCGAGATTGTACAGGTCCGTATTTGCCTCAATGGTCTTGGAATTATCTAACAAAATAAATGATTATTTTTATAGAAAGAAGTGCACGTACGAATGGTTGATATTATTTATTACAGGTTCAATTTGAATATCGATCATATTGTCTAGATGCCACACCTTTGTTTCGATTGTATTTTGAACGGTGACGGATGCAATGTTTCCAATGGTTTGCCGTCACTCTGTTGGCAGCTTCATAAAACAAATTTTTCACGTCAAAAAATTGGAATGTTCATAGTTTTTTATAGTTTTTTTATATTTGCCCAAATCATTTCAATGGGATTTAATTCGCAGTGATAATGGGGCCTTAAAACGTTCTTATTTTGGTTTTTAGCCATTTCGTCAATAACATTTAGATTATATTTATATTTGTGCTGTCTGACTAGATGGATATATTCTGCTTTGACCATACTTTCATTGAAATTAATGTCTTTTGAAAGGAGCCATTGTTGAATTTCTGCCTTCCTTGAGGACATTGTGGGAACTTTTTCTAGTTTGCTAGTGAGGTATGCAGCATCATCAAGTACAATGACGGCACTGCGTTTGTCGTTTTTTTATATTCTTTTTCTTCGCCACACATCTTTCAATATCATGTCCGATGTCTGGGATTTCTCACGCAAAATCGTTAGGTTCGTAGCCCCTTCTTCTTTGGAGGGGATATAAATTCAATATCGAACAACACGAAAATCTACCATTTTTTCGACTTTGACCCCCGTTTTTGACCGCATTTCTTTCTCTTACCTCGACGGCTCTCGCTCGATCGTAAAGCGCCGAGTTTCTAGTTTCCGAAACGGTATCGCTTACCGAGAAAACATTTCGAGAACCGTTAAAAAAACCGAAAAATCGCGCCATTGTCGAAACACCCCGATCCAGACTCGATAGGGGAGGTAAAGGAAAAACAAAAGATCGTTGCTTAATATTGTCGACGAGACCGATCTCGAATCGATATTTCGATAAACGGCGAGACGGCTCCGTACCGCGCGAAAATCCACCGTTTTTTCGACTTTGACCGCCGTTTTCGATCGCGTTTCTTCCTCTTACCGCGACGGCGCTCGCTCGTCCGTAAAGCGCCGAGTTTCTAGTTTCCGAAACGGTATCGCTTTCCGTTGCAACGTATCGCGAACCAGGAAAAAACCGGAAAAACCGCGTCGACGTCAAACGCCCCGATCCACCCCCGCCTCGTGACCTTCCCCGAAAAAACAATCGATCACCGCTTAATATAGTCGACTAGGACGCGGACCGCGATCAGTTCCGCCGTAAAGCGTGCGCCCGTCGTTTAGCTATCGAATGAGACCGATCTCGAGTCGATATTTCGATAAACGGCGAAACGAGTGTGAAATAACGCCGCGTACCGTCCGAAAAACGGTCGATTTTTCGACTTTACCGGCCGTTTTCGATCCGATCCGTTCCTCTCACCGCGACGGCTCTCGCTCCCCGATAAAGCGCCGAGTTTCTACTTTCCGAAACGGTACCTCTTTCCTTCCGGACGTTTCGCGAACCTCCTAAAAAACCGGAAAAACCGCGTCGACGTCATACAATTTCCGAACCCCTACCAATTTTACTACCAATCGAAACAATCGATCACCGCTTAATATAGTCGATTTTCATTTCAGGATGCTCTAAAATTTCGCTCTTATAATAGTTAAGGACAATTTCTTTTGCCAGAATATTCAAATGTCCCGGTGAACATCACACGTCATTTTGCGGTTACAATGCTTCCTCCCCAGTAGGCGTGGGAAGTGAAACTCGCAATGGTTTCCAACGATTTAGCTCTTGTCTTTATTTCCAGGTGCAACACAAAAACAACTCGAGACTGTTCGACCCGAAACCACTAGACCCAAGACAATTCGGCATCCAACATTTCGCTGGACGCGTAGTCTACGACGCTACCGACTTCCTGGACACCAACAAAGACGTGGTACCCGACGACCTGGTGGCCGTCTTCTACAAGCACAGTTGCAACTTTGGTTTCGCCACGCATTTGTTCGGTAGCGAACTGAAGGCTCTCTATTCGGTGGAAACTGTGCCTAGGGGAGTCAGTTTTCGCATTTCTCCAACGTCTCACACGGATTTGTTGAACGGCGATGAACCCGTTTCGACTTTGACTCAGGACTTTCATACGAGGTTGGATAATTTACTGCGGACGTTGGTGCATGCTAGACCGCATTTCGTGCGGTGTATCTGCAGCAATCTACAGGAGAGTCCGAACAGGTATGTAAACCTCATCTGTATACAGGGTGTCCTCAAAGTTAGGACTTTCCTGTACACGGCGTATAGATCTGGAAAAAATAAGCAGTTCTTTTTTCTTCTTAAACGTGTTGCTTTTTAAACAAAATGCGGATCAGTACTCAATCCAGGCGCTGGCCGCGTTTGAGAACAAAACCTTTACACATCGGTTCCAAAAAAAATGTCACACTCATACAGCAATATCGGAGTTGTCCATATTATTTCAATTTATGGTAAGTTCCTGAAAAGGAAAATCCCAACTTTCATGTCACCCGTATAAATGTGAATGCCTGTCCAGTATGTCAGCATGACGTCTGAACCACAACACGGAGGGACGAAAACATGTGTACACGTACTGAATAAATAAATAAATGTTTATTCGCTATTAAAATAATAATAATTTTACAATATACCTTAATATTGCAACTGTACCTTTCACCAGCTACTCATCCTAATTACATAATATTGTCACCGCTGTAACGTGTGGGAGAGTTTGCTCTGGGTTGAGCAGACTCGCTGGTGTGGAGGCACAAATGATAATGAAAATAAAATATTTAAGTGTATTAACAAAACAAATGAAAGAAGTGAATACTTACTCCCAGGGCAGGAACAATCATACCTGTCAGCCCATCCAGTTTTCATAAACCGATAGAAGCGCCACCAACGGTGAATAATACACCTTTGCAGATTATGCATTATATGCCGACGATGCGCACATTTCTCAGCGGATGCGGTTTAGGGTATCTATCGACCTATATGGCGCCTACCTGGCGCGCGTGAGGCGCTACAGGGTGATCACGCGTGACAAAAAAATTATCGGAAAATCTCAAAATGTTTAAGTTTCTGAGATATTTTTTTCTTTTGTTTTGTTTTATATTTTTTTAATATTTCTTGTATATCTTCGATGTTTCTTTGGTTTTTAATACAGTATGAGCGCGTTCTCTATAGAAATTTGAGACATTACACTCACCGATTGAAGGAAAAATACGTTTTCTACAGAAAAATATCATTGAACAAGGTTGTAAGGTTTGAAAAGATTCATCAAATGATGATCTTGAACGTGACCTTGACTATGATCTTCAATGTCATTTGAAGGTGAAGACAGTTTTCTTAAATCAAACCCCTATTTTTGACAGCCAAAAAGGAAACAGCGGGACATTTTACGTTGAAATATATTTTTGCCCATGACCTTGACCATGATTTTTATGGGTATTTGAGAGTAACTAGAAAATAAGGAAAGGTCAAAATATATCGAAAAATATGTTTCATAAAGGAAAACGTTGTGTAATAAAGTTGTAATGTGTAATGGTGACCTTGAATGTGACTATGACCTTCAAACTCATTTGAAGGTCAAGACAGGTGTCTTAAATGAAAACCCCTACTTTAGACAACGGTAATATAAAGGGTAAGAAACTTCATGTTGAGGTGTGTCCATAAACTTAATTATGACCGTCAAGGTCATTTGAAGATCAAATGAATTTTCGACGGGAACCGGCTATTTTCAATTCCTGAAATGAAAATTGCGGACAACTTTAAGTTCAAGTAAATCCTTGCCAATGAACGTGGGCATGACCTTCAAGGTCATTTTGAGATCAGATAAATTTTCTGGTAGTATTTGTCGAGGATATTCAAAAACGAAGAATTGAAATTACTTCAATTTACTCGATCGCGTACTTATCGGCCGCAATTGCCGCACGCCACGGGGTTGTAAATATTGCATCTTTGGAAGCAGGTAGTGAGCGAAATATTTATATATATATATACAGGGTGTCCGCAAAGTTGGGGTTTTCCTTTACACGACGTGAAGATCTTGAAAACATAAGCAATTTTTCTTAGTACCATATACACCAATGTCTTAAGGGAACCGAGATAAACGGCTCTGCAACATCAAAAATATCTGAGTACCATCCTGTAGCCGCGACCCGCGACATCACCGAGTGGTACAAGGTCACTGGCTCAACCCGACGACAGAACTGGGTCGGGGTCAGTGTGTCAGGTCAGTATACAACCTTCAACCGACAGTTACGGTCACGCGTCTAGAGGTAATCGCGTAGACGAGAATCCCTCAACAAGCACTAGAGACGTGGCTAGAGAAGTGCAAGTATCAAAAACTAAAGCGTGGCAAACGCTGCGTGAAGAGGGGCTGTATCCGTTTCACGTCCAACGTGTACAAGCCCTTCAACCTGGCAATTTTCCAGCAAGAGTGCGGTTTTGTGAGTGGTTGTTGCATCAACATGACAATAATCCGGACTTTTTGAAGTGCATATTGGTGACAGACGAATCTACGTTCACGCGTAATGGGGTGAATAACTTTCGCAACACTCATGTTTGGTCAGTAGAAAATCCGCACGCTGTCCGTCGGGCACATTTTCAACAAACATATTCGGTGAATGTTTGGGCTGGCATGGTGAACGGTATGCTCATTGACTTTTTACGCAACATTTTGCCTTCCTTGTTTGCCTGCGTCTGCTCGGTAGCGCATCAGCTGATTTCATTTTCTGTTGGAGCGGTATGATTTCGGGCAGAGACGTACTTAGCCCTTCTCGTCAACTGGAGAGTGAGTACTTTTTCCTTTATTTTTTTTTACTTGGTCGCCCTCGTTTCACTACACATTACCTTTGTTATTTCAAGGGTAGTTGTTTCTGAAAAGGAAAACCCCAACTTTGCGGACACCCTGTATATATATATAAACAGTATGCTTGTATATTATAATTTAATGAAGCTCTACAATTCATTTTCTTGGGATTCACATGCGTAATTTCCTTAGTTTTGAGTTAGCTTCGCCATTAAGAGTGATTATATTCTTCAGACAGTAAAGCATATCTATCCATCAATCTACATGTAGAAAACTTCGGTGAAGCCCTGGAAGGCTTCTGGAAATCATCGATTGAAGTTAAATGCCCGACCAGATCGCGGAAGCAGTCAGTCAGGCCGATAAGAGGCGATGAATCGGTAACAGCGCGATAGTCCAGTCGACATGGTTATAAATTTGTAATAAATTAGTGTAAGAGTAACAAATTTGACTTTGAACAGCGAAAAACCTCTGTTTAAAAACATACAAACATCGCTAAATATGTACATAGTGAACACAAATGTAAGCTGCATAGCCTAAAATTATTATTTTTTCAAACACGTTTAAGTAATGTCTCAAAAACAATACAAGATACATTTATCTACCGAAAACCTACTTGAATTACTGCGAATAACTTCTATATAACAAATAAACCCTACTTTACAGATTCGATCGGCCAACAGTCGTCCGCCAAATCCGTTCGCTCCAAGTCCTGGAAACCGTGAACCTGATGGCGGGCGGTTACCCTCACCGCATGCGCTTCAAAGCTTTCAACAGCCGATACCGTTTGCTCGCCCCGTTCGCCAAACTGCACCGAATCGAAGAAAAGGTCACCGAGGACTGCCTGCTGATACTCCAATACGTGCTAGACAGCATCTCCGGCAAGCACCAGAGCGCAGGCGCCGTCTCTGTCAGCTACGCCATCGGGAAGAGACACATCTTCCTCAGCGAAGGCATCAGGCAACACCTGGAGAGGCTCAGGTGCGAGACCAGACGGAAAGCGGCCACCTTGATACAGGCGACGTGGAGGGGATGGAGGTGCAGATACAGGTGGGCCGCTATGAGGAGGGAGAAGGCCAAGCCGCCTGCTCCGAGGGTCGCATTAGGTATGTTTTTTTTTTTTATACTCCAACTACCACGAAGGCCTAAGGCCTAAGCACCCATCGGGTACCGTGGGGCTATGGGGGATACATGGGAAAGGGGGGACGCCACACGGACTCTGGCGAGGGAACACGTGTGCATGCAACATGCACACATTCTGGCTCCGCCTACGAGAACCGCCGGGTGGTACCTCCGCGTTCGACAGTCAGAGACCATCTACCACCTACGGACAATCACAACATCCATGGCCAAGAGAAACATTTCTCCTGGGACGGGACTCGAACCCGCACAGAGCACGGCGACTGATCAGGAGACCGAAGAGTCTACTACTGCGGCCACCGCTGCTGCCTAAAACAAACACACAACATCCATGGCGAAGGCGAGATTCGAACTCGCGGCCCGGCCGGCCGGCTGATCAGTAGCACGACACTCTGACCCACGCGGCCAACCGAGGTCCGGTTGAGGCCTTGGTTGAGGTACATTAAGAAGTTTCCGTATACAGGTGGATATCATTTAGTGAGTTTATATATATGGCCATATTTTAATATTCTTGTGGTATATGGCTACACACGATACTTTGTTAAGCATAGGAACTACATTTAAAGTGTCCCCAAGAACCGTAATGAGTATAACTATAATAAGGTGCTCCACTTTATGGTAAAACTGCAGTCAGCCTGTATCATTTTTCTCAAAAATGAAGCTGAAGTACAATAACAATATCCAATACCCGGCAAAATTCTAACTTGTCACATTTCAAATAATAACCAGAAATATAAAACTACTCTTGATTTGGGTAAATACCACAATTTTGCGGTGATAACTATGACATATAACAGCTGATTCGTGACGTCACGGATCTTATAACCAAACTGATAACTACACTCGCTTGAACGGATTGGTAAATACCAACCCAAAATGGTAAATACCATTTCCATTTGGTTATCCGCTTGAATTTGATTCTAGTTGTGCAAATTTTACATTCTTAAATGACATCTTGCTTGAATTAGTCGGAATTCAGGGACTTCACTTACCTGTTAAGACACACACTTTTTCTAATGTTAACAAATGCCCGGTGAGAACACGATTGCCAATTTACTTCTTCTTTACACGGCAAACAAGTGGAAAATCATAGGTAGGCGAAAGCTTTTCCCGCGTACGCTGCGCCATTAAACACTGACAGAAATGACAAATGACATTGACAGATGCCCGAGCTAGAGATGTTGCCGAGGTAAGTATAGAGATGTGCTCGCTTTAGTCGACTCATCGTCATCTGGTGGCGAATTGTTGAGTTAAAATAGGATGATGCAATAAATTTTGAAGTTTAAAAGATTCCAGAAAAAGGCAGTTGGTGTTTATCGAAAAATAAAGATATCTGAGAGCTTCAAAGACTTGTCCTTTCGCATAGTTTAAAATAATGAAATTGGTTATAAAATATATGAATCTTAAAAAAGTGATATATATTTTCAATCGTGGTTCAGTAAACGAAAAAAGATATGTTACTTTAAAGTTTAGTTAAATGTTCAGGATTGAGGTTTCTCATATGTTCACCAACATTTTTAACTTTTTAAGAAGCTGAATTCTAAAAATTTTAACCATGTCTTCTAAAAGACATGCTCGTAAGTAAACATCTTGTAGATGTTTTTTTTTTAATATTATAATTTACACGTCAAAGCGACGATATTTCCACATGTTGGGATCCTCAGCAAATTTGTCATGAATTTTCTGATAAATAACGTCATGGCTTTTTTCTAGGCGGTGCTAGGCCAAGACCTCAACCAATCGCAGGAACTCCCCCGCCCGATCCGAACGAAAAGTGCGACTCGAAAGTGATCCAACAGACCTGCAACTTATTCGGCCTTGACCTGGAGCGTCCACCCCCCGTACCGCCGAGCAGATCATACACAGTGGCGGGCAACACAAAACTGGGCTATCCGCAAACGCGGGTCATGAAGATGACCTATCCGGAAGAGTGCAACGGAGATGGCCCCGTATTGCATAAGGGAGAGACTGTACTGGTGGTGGGCGCATCACACCGCAGAGGCCACTTGATCGTTGAACATAAACATTGTACTCTCCACGTGCCTTTCCAGTATTTAGAGCTGAAACAGACCAGCGTCAATATTTAATCTTGCCATTCGTCTAGTTCTTTGTTTCGTGTTCGCGATATTATCCGTCATCGCTGCATCACGACTGAAAGACAAACCTGTTTATCTATTCTGTTTCAGGGTCCAGACAATCCAACAAAACTTTTGAATTTCAATAATGAAAAAAGTGTATTATCTAAAACTAAAAAACGTATATTCAGATAGCCAAACAGTAGAATATGACAAAATAAAAAATTTCTACAGTCTGACGATAGGCGGGGAATTCATAGAATATCTGGTAGGTAGAGTACAAATATGGAATTGCGGACTGTGGTGACAACATGGCAACCCTGTCCGGATTCGAGCAGACCATGATCGGGATTGGTCTGTATCTCCCTACCACTTACCGCACGGCTAACGTGACCAACCTCTGTGGACAAATCCGATTGGTTTGTAACATTAATTCCAGTGGCGTAACAAAATGAGAATATATAGCGATCGAGAATACACGAGTTTGACAGCGATAAAAGGCCGTAGAACTTTTTCTAAGCGGGAGAAAGAGTTAATACACAACGTTTGCGACGGGCTTTGCACGCCCGACAGAACACTAGGTGTTAATGATGCTGTTTTACTTTGTAGCAGCATATCAAAAGTGTCTCAAAGAACATTTTTTCGGATAATCAAAGAAAAAACTTGAACTAACAAAGAAGAACATCCGACGACTAACTTTTCGCAGACATACACATTCTTTTTTTTTTTCGAAATGAGATACAACCAAATTGTACCGTTCGCATCATGTTTTTAAAAAGCTTATTCTAAACTCTCAAAGTTTACATATGTTTTTTGGTGTGAATTTTGATAGAAACGTGTAAAATTCAAATAAGTAATTTTCGAGTTATTTTATAAAATATGCCAAATGATACATCTGACTCGACTGTATCCTATTTTCTCCATTGCTTCCATCGTATCGTACATTGACATTGTCAAATATCTGGTTAAATATATGAACATTAATAAAATAGGTCCCTATTTATATTGACACCTTTTATAAAGCTAGTTTGCACGCACATGGAAAATTCATCCTCCACCAATTCGGATAATCCGTTTTCTTGACTTTGCTGGCAGGGTTGCCATATTGGGGGATTTTCCCCCAAATTTGAGAGATTTTTAAGTCCTTGGGGAACTTTCGTGAGATAACATGATCTGGGGGATTTTTTGAGGTAAAAAGAAAATCGTTGGCTTTTTTGAGGTACGATGATTACTTGCCTTTTCGGCGGTTTTGCACGGATTTTTTCGTCTTGTGAAGAAAATATATTATTATTTCATATGATAGATATTGGATTCCTAGACCCAGTCTTTGGCTTAATAAATGAAACTAAACTGAAATTTTAAAGGTTAAGCATAGCTCCGTACCCCGTGATGCAGCGATTGACGCATATTATTTCCAGTATGTTAGGTGTATATGTAGAAAAAGTTATATCCAGTGTAATCTACTATTATTGGATACTATTTACATAATATACGACCCCGTCTTATCAGCAACCAGAAAACCGTTATCACACAAGTAACAGTCTGGCTAGTGTGCCATAATTCTGACTTTATGTAACCAAGCAAATGTCGTTTTTTATGCAAAATAATACGTTTATCCATAATATGTCAAATGAGTTTCGTCAATCTATATTTGTACTATACTCCCAACGCATGTACTGAGTGGGTCGTGCAGTCGGTTGACTCTGTCATTCAACAAACGGACAAAATTAATCAACAAAGAGAGATGCCACATGCGCAGTACGTCGTCGCTACTTTTGACTTCACCTTCACTCAGGTTTTCATGGTTGAGACATTTCGCCGTGATAAAGAGTCATGAAAAATAATATGTAGATGCCATCTTGTGTCACAATTGTATGACTACGTTTATACCAAATAGGATTGAGATTTATTTAGGACTTAATCTCAAATATGAGGCGTTTATATTGTACCGGACTGAGTCTAGGATTGACAAGTGACATTTGCTTTAGTGTGAGGTTGCTTGCTACCTTACAGTATAAGTTTCACATCGGCAGAGTTACCGACTGTGTCGAGCTAGCGAAGTACTCGTAGAGCAGAACGAAATCACGCGACGTGCATGTGAAGAAAATATTCTTTTATCAAGTATACTGTTTTTATTTATACGCCAACTAGATAGTAAGTGTTTTTCCTACATGCAATGTATGTACAAACCACACGCTCTTGTATTATTTAATGAAACAGAAATACAATTTTTACTCTTATCTACGTTTTTGTGCCACATCTGTCCAAATAAAGTCTTTCTAAAATCAATGAAAGCAAGACAACCAAGCGTTTGCTGATATGCAGCCGGTTCTGGGTTAACGGTTGAAAATGTTAACGAAAGTGGTCAAGAGAAATGGCTGGAAATTGATTTCAACTTTCTAAATTGACCTTTAGGTGGCGTCATTCCAATCTCAAGCACCTTTTTATGTGTGTACTTCGCATATTTTATTGTCAAACTTTCCTGTTTCACGATTCTCCATTGCGTTTTGACGTCTACTGAGGAACAGCTAATCAGCCTGTGACATTGGCAATAATAAATCGGGTATAAATCTGATAAAATTTAGGACCGTGTTTAGAGCTGTTGTTCACAAATCTATGTGTAAAAATTATATAAACGCATGTTTCTGGTTAATTGCCATCATCAAAAAAAAAACAAAATACGACCCTGTCTACCTGGCGTTGACGGATCCTTCAGAATTGTGCGTCACTTGTCCATTTGGGGAATTTTGAAATATTACTAGATGTTCAGCTGTTATTTGACCGAAACGGATACTGAAAAAGACAGTTGTTTTTGCTGATAGGAAAGCTTCACACAACAGTCACAGATACCTGGGAGGATGTAAAATTACCTAGTAGAAAAGTGGGAGTGATCGCCTTTCGAGGCTCTCTGTTACCTGATCAGAAGAGCTGCTCCCTCGGTCATTCTCAGATGTTCAAAAATGACGATATCCGCCATATCTAAATGAGGTAGTATCTTTACTATTAGTCGATTGTATATTTTGTAAGTGAAATTAATTATTCTTGGTTATTTATTTACATGATTATTTTGACAGCTTGAAAGTTGTAGGACGCCTTTATGGCCTCCTTGATTTTCATAGTTTTTCCTAGCCTTCAGAAAGGCAGGGATAGATTTCTAATGTATCATGTCAGCGCTCTATTTTGCGGTTATAGTTATTTTCTTTTTCAATTCTATGAAATTTCAGGCCGATAAAACTTGATTTTTGTCACCCGTTTCATCAGTCTGACATTTCTTGAGATTCAGAAAACATAACCTCACAATCGGAGAGCGCCGACGCTGACACGGAACAGTAGAAACCTAGAGATACCTCAGCCTTTCTGAATGACAGAAAAGACTATGAAAATTAAGGAGACTGTAAAGGCGTCCTACAATTGTAGGAACGACTGACGATGCGTCCCTTAGTGTATTTGTAAATGAGTGGGACAAGAATGATATGGCGTAGCACATATTTGAAACGAGAACCTAAAATATTTCATCAAAAAAAATGAAACAAATTGATTTGCGTTCGCCTTTCGCGGCTCGCAAGGAAATTAGATGTTGAGTTGTGACTGATGGGAGAATAGTTTTTTCTTTTAACTATTTAATAAAATTGCTACGAAATTGTTGCTGTCATGGCACCCAGCTGACCAGAGTATCCATCCGAGTTTCTCTAAAATTTAGGTTCGGAAAAAGTTCCTCCACGATCCAAATCGAAACTTGGCAACACTGATAACGACGTGCATAACCTCTTCTCTGTCATTATTATGGCAGTGTTGCCGGAGGTTGAGGAAATTGTTAGATATGCTATATTTCAAGGTCCATAGTGAATTACGTCTCATTTTATATATAAAAGTAAACAGAAAATTTAAGCATATGAAAGATGTTGAATTATGTCAAAAACTCCTTTTTACATAAATACTTTGTAAACACAATTTTGGTCCTCGTGAGCTCATTTTTTTGTGATACACAGTAAGGAATAAATTTTGAAATAAGAAAAAGAAAAGGTCAATAGAAGATGCCATTTTAATCAGTTCGTGAGAATATAATAAATAAAAAATTATTTCTTAAAAATTTGTTGCCAAATAATGTGTTTCTATAAAAAACAGTCCAGCTCCAATTCTCTCATTTATAACTCAGAAAACAAATGTTCCATAATGAAACTTCAAGTTTTTATTTAGTAGAAATTAGTATGAAAGCTCCGTTTTTTTCAACGGTTCTGAAGTGTAGGTGTTCAGCAGCAGTCGTATACAGGGTGTCCGCAAAGTTGGGGTTTTCCTTTACACGACGTGTAGATCTTGAAAACATAAGCAATTTTTCTTAGTACCATATACACCAATGTCTTAAGGGAACCGAGATAAAGGGCTCTGCAACATCAAAAATATCTGAATACCGTCCTGTAGCCGCGACATCACCGACTGGTACAAGGTCACTGGCTCAACCCGACGACAGAACTGGGTCGGGGTCAGTGTGTCAGGTAAGTATGCAACCTTCAACCGACGCTTACGGTCACGCGTGTAGAGGTAATCGCGTAGACGAGAATCCCTCAACAAGCACTAGAGACGTGGCTAGAGAAGTGCAAGTATCAAAAACTAAAGTGTGGCAAACGCTGCGTGAAGAGGGGCTGTATCCGTTTCACGTCCAACGTGTATAAGCCCTTCAACCTGACGATTTTCCAGCAAGAGTGCGGTTTTGTGAGTGGTTGTTGCATCAACATGACAATAATCCGGACTTTTTGAAGTGCATATTTGTGACAGACGAATCTACGTTCACGCGTAATAGGGTGAATAACTTTCGCAACACTCATGTTTGGTCAGTAGAAAATCCGCACGCTGTCCGTCGGGCACATTTTCAACAAACATTTTCGGTGAATGTTTGGGCTGGCATGGTGAACGGTATGCTCATTGGACCATTTATTCTCCCAAATCGATTGGACGGGATGCAATACCTAGACTTTTTACGCAACATTTTGCCTTCCTTGTTAGAAGATGTGCCATCAAGTGTAAGACAGTCAATGTGGTTTCTGCACGATGGTGCACCGCCCCATTTTAGACGCGAAGTGCGTGAGTGTTTGAATTATTTCCGAATAGGTGGATCGGACGAACTTCGTCTCAGAATTGAACAAGCTGGTGCTTTCATTCGGGGGAGGGACTCCATTCTCAAAGCCTGCACCGATGCTTGGCTACGTTGTGCACGCACCTGTATTTTTGAATCAAACGGCGATAACTTCGAACAATACCTAAAAGGAACGTTTAGCTAAAAACTGAAAACGCGGCAACGCCGTCATATTTGTTACCTCTGTTCGTGGTCTGCACCACCGCCTGCGTCTGCTCGGTAGCGCATCAGCTGATTACATTTTCTGTTGGAGCGGTATGGTTTCGGGCAGAGACGTACTTAGCCCTTCAAGTCAACTGGAGAGTGAGTACTTTTTCCTTTATTTTTTTTTACTTGGTCGCCCTCGTTTCACTACACATTACCTTTGTTATTTCAAGGGTAGTTGTTTCTGAAAAGGAAAACCCCAACTTTGCGGACCCTGTATAATCCAGCTTTGGAGAAAGGGATTGATATGGGCAGAAATAATAAAATAATTTAGATGAATGTATTTATTGTAAACAAGTAATAAGGATTTGGTACGATCCAAACCAAATAATAGCAGAGTTTACAGTTTAGATATTTAGGTAGGCATTTATAATGTCTGTTAGTTCCTATTATGAATTTATGAATAGTTTGATGTCTTTAATGTTACGTATTTATCAAAGTTGGAGACAATGATATACCCAATAAAACAAACACGATACTGAAAGAGACGATGAAACATTGCGTAGCACAATAATGCCTATGAAAAGAGGGAGAAGGTGGCATTTTGTGAGCTATACCTACGAATCAAAATAATATTAAATGCGTTTATTGGCTGATGATTGAGACCCCATCCATCGGTCTTAATTGTTTTATTGCAAGGAAGCTTTAATTAACAGCCAGTAAATAAGAATGCTCCATAGCAAACAACTTTCAGAGATTTGACTGAAAAAAAAACGATAACTCGTGACATTTTTGGGAACGACTAGTTGTGTTTGCGAAAAACAGAACGCGGGATTGGGATTAGGACTGGAACATGGTACCGTGCTGAACACATATATCTAGACTTTCAAAAAAACCCCACACTTCATAGTATCCTCACGATGAGGAAACAAGTAAGTGAGAATTAAAGACCATTGATCGACCGTTCAACGCGGAGAAACAAATAAATTTGGACCAGCAGATCTCGCATTTACGAAGCACCTCAGCTCTGTTACCGCAAATGTCAAATTACTTGTACTTTGAGAAAGACTGTTGAGGGTCGATACGTTTAATAGATAATTTTATTCAACAACAGTAGTTTCATTCAGCGGCTAGAACGACGAGAAGAGGAATCAGGGAGTCTCAAGAATTTAGGAATCACAATTAAGCGCTTCCCAAAGACACGCCAACTTAAAATACTTTCACACTGTAAACCGTGCATTTTTGGTATAGATATAGATAATTTGTGATCATTAACAAAGTTGTGGTTTTTAACGTATTTAGCTTATATTATCACAATAAATTAATTTGTTCTATAGCGTGTAGAAGTACACTTATACATATTTTTAAAATACACTGGTTGCAGTATATACAGGTAAGTATAAAAATATTTAAGTACGCCCATTATAATGATGCTATTGAAGAGTATTTTGCAGGCAATCTCGTATTTGTATCCAAGTATTAAGGCCCTACAAAAAAAGAACAACTTTTACGAGGCAATAATTACGACATTGCAAAAATAATTTTAAAATCTTAAATGAAGAATTTATAAAATATCCGAAATTATCCTAGAAATGAATCAGGAGTAAATAAATATCGAATACCAGGATGTCACTACATGATCCGAAACAAAAACTTTGAATTTATTTATAATCACTGGGTAGATATCAAGAAAATGTGAAAATTAAAAGTTTCATCTGTTGGAATAAAAATCGCCATAAAGAATTGTTATTTGATTCTAATACATTTATAGATAACCACACAAAAACCTTACCTTTCTTGCTGTTTTGAGCTGCAGAAATGCATAACTAGCTAAAGTTTCCCGTAGATCTAATAGTTTTTGATGTTGAAACATCTCTATATCACTCAAGGCTTTTGCAGAAAATTCACTGAAAAAAAAAAACTTAGTCCAGATTTTGGAGCACCAATTTATATAATTTCGGGTTAAGGATTCCTTCTGGTATTTATTATTTATTGTTCTAAGGCAATACGCAGATTTGGAAACGGAGCAGCTGCAACATTCTGGCTGGACCTTAAAATTTGCATATTAAGCATGATTTTGTGCACAATTTTTTCAAGATTTGCTTAAAAAACTAGCGAAAGATTTACTTTCCTTTTACAAATCGTATTTATGTGATAGAACACAGTACGTACATTAAAATGGTTATAATTCCAACATATACAAAGTAAGCTCAGGCATTCCACAAGGGTCAAAATAAGGCCCACTTCTATTTATTCTATTTATAAACGATCAAGATATTGTAAATTCTTCGAATATATTGTTTTATGCAGATAATTTGAAAGTATTTTTTGAAATAGCCACCTTGGATGATTGTACTGATCTGCAACGAATCCTTAATTCAATAATAACAAAACTTTAAGGAGGTTATTTGATACCTATCTGCATATTAGACTAGAGTGATGTTCGAATGTTTTGAATCCTTACTATGTCATAAAAATAAACTAGATAGGGTTCAGAGAAAGTTTTTAAAATACTTCGTATCAAAAAAAACACCGTATTTACCCTACGAGAATATCAACTCCTATGAAACGTTTAAGACGTACATAGTGAGTTCAGACGGAGTTTCTTCGAATTAAATTGAACGTGTCACAGTTTAATTCTAAACCATCCTGCCGCTAAAACTAATCTTATGCTTATATCACGCTTGATGTGACTATTCTTTGGTTTGATATAAGGGATATTGACCTTACCACAACATACCTTAAGCTTTCTTTGGTATTGTTAACGACTACGGCTCCCTCTTCAATTTGCTGATCCAACTGATTCACCTTAAATTCCCTAACTTCTTCGGTATCTACCGCTCCGAACAATCTTGAAATCAGACCCGTCTTGCCTTGCTGAACCCTCGTACGTTCCACGTTTTTATTCGCTACATTTTCTTCGGCATCTTCTAACTGCAGTTGCAATATTTCGTAATTCCTATGAATTAATACAGGCGTTGGAACCAAGACAAAAGCTGTCATCAGGACAAAAAAGGTCCGCTTTTAGACAAAGCGTGTATTTTTCATCAGCTTTTCAGCGCAGCATCCTAATTAAGAGCCGTATCGTCAGTCGTTCCTACAATTGTAGAACGCCTTTATGGCCTCCTTAATTTTCATAGTTTTCTACTGTTTCGTATCAGCGTTCTATTTTGAGGTTATGTCACAAATATTTGCATCGAACTGTTCATGCTTTTGGTTAAAATAAAAAATAGTAACAATTAGAAATGTACAGAAACGGTTGAAAATTGCTTAACGATTTTTTTTATGTTCACTACAACTTAACTTTTGGCCACTATTGCAGATTTACCGCTATACATTGCCCGTAAAAAATAAATGTGAAAATCGACGATTTTTGCCGTTTTTCTTTAATAACAAATGAACTGTTCCGGAAAAAATGCTGCGTAAAGTCTCATTTGAAGATATATTCAGCCCAAACAACTTTTTTTGGACCACTCACACCAACAATTTGAATATAGACATATATTTCAAATCAAAAATAAATACAGGGGACCTCAAGGATCACTATTACGCTCGATCCTATTGGTAGTATATATGAATTTTTGTATACCGCGGTTAAATACTATGACTCTACGCTACATTTTATATGCAATAATTATAATTCCTTAGCAGACAGTTCTGACACTAATTTTTATTGTACCAGTAAGATACTATTATAATAGCGAATTCTGTTTCTTATGTAAGCACACTCTAAGTAAAGATACCATTATATTGCCCTGTAATTGGGATAGTATGTTGGGCAATTATGTATAAATAAATAAATGAATTATTGAATAAATGATAAGCGAATAAATGAATAAATGAATAAATGAATAAATGAATAAATGAATAAATGGATAAATGAATGAATGAATGAATGAATGAATGAATGAATAAATGAATGAATGAATAAATGAATAAATGAATAACTGAAGAAATGAATAAATGAATAAACGAATAAATGAATAAACGAATAAATGAATAAATGAATAAATGAATATATGAATAAATGAATAAAGGAATAAATGAATAAACAAATAAATGTGTCTTGTGATTCTAGCGTAATGCATTAAGACCTCTAATTTTCGATTTATGGACAATTCAATATGCCTCTGAGGAAACTTACCAAAAAATCAGAAAAACGAGTCATTTATGACAAAGTAATGAGAACAAAAGAGCCCGTGACCACACTGCTGTGCTGTGCTATTACCTGCAAACGTTTTGCAACGATATGGCGAAAAACAGGTACTCTTTGAGCTGATCGGCTAGCAGCTCCTCGTCCTCGAGGCTGGCATCTATCGAGGAAGCCAGCGAATCGAAGTAATGGCCGGTCTTCTGCAGAGCGTCGCCCATTTCTTTCTCTATCACGCTCCATTCGCTAAATACTCGTCCGTAGTTAGCGTGGAGCTTGTGGACGGTATACTGTTTCTCGGCTACCCTGGATCGTGCTAAAAAAAATTACAAGTATTCGCTCGGTTTGCGACGATAGCGACAACTAGCATGGATGTTCAAAAATATCTTTTCGTATTCGGAATATTTCAACGATAATGAAGGTACTGCATCTAAATTTTTCAAATAAAAGCATGTTACAAACTTTTTACACTACCATCCACTGTACATACCTTTCAAAAGGTTATTAAGATTATTATGAAGCGTAATTCCATATTGCTTGTACTCTTCTATCTTTGGATCAGTTTTTTTCAACCGAACGGCCAAACTTAAACTCTTCAGCTTACTTTCTACTAGTTGTAAATATCCTAAAATAAATAGGAAATATCATGAATGTATTTTGGTAACCATATATTTGTAATGGGAAAAAAATAAGGGGAAAGTGCGATTTTTGTTCGATATTAGAACAGAGATTCAGTACAGGATATAAGTATTGCACTTTGTCAGCGCATATTAACAGTAAATATCACATCTAATTATAAATACTAAGACTAAAAACTGATTGTCTGACATTTTCCTTTATGTGAAAATATCCAGCCATGTGACAATTGTTTTTTTTTTCAATTGAAATTTAACGTTACCATTAGCTTTGTATGATTCTCTCCAACCTTCCTCTTGTTGCAAAAACTCGATGAAATGTTCATCCCAGGTAAGTACCGGATGGGCTGCGATCCGCAGCAGAAAATTCTCCAAGCCGGCTCTTCTGCGATCTATGAAGTTGGGATCAAATGTGTCGCTTGATATCTTCTGCCATCCAAACATGACTCTCTTTTCAGGTAACGGAGGCAAAATAACATATGGATATGTAACATCCAGGTAATCTCGTAGCTGTTCAAATTCTGTGTACCTTCTCCAAACTGTCGTTAGCTTGCCAAGTTTGGAATGGTATTCTGGATCTGTCACTCTGCAAAGCCAAATAAAATAATGCATAAAAGATTGTATTCTCAGCAGAGATATAAGATATCTTATGTGAATCGTCCAAGGACCCTACAACGTTTGAAGACCGGCATCCAGGAAGAAATTGCCTACATAATGTCTGCTATGCTGTCAAGTCATGACAAACACCACAAATTGGTTTAAATTAGGTCTCACTAGAGTGTAGTACAAAGTTATTATTATCATATTTATATCCTTAAAATGTTTTATATTCCTAATTATGAAGCCAAAAAGTTTATCAGATTTATTTACAATGTTTTCTTAGTGTTTGAAAGCAGATGCCATGTTTGTACATTGTGAATGTTCTAGAAAGATGAGAATAAATAAAATATCAGTAATAACCACTTTGCTGTAGCAATTTTGTATATTTTTGCAATTATAAGTGATCCATCATTCAGCAAGAGCGTCATTGGTAAATTATGATCTTGAACTAAAAAGTCAAGGTACCTAACTACTGCAGTAGTGGGGTGTCAATTTTAATATCCAGCATATTGCATTTTAAAATAAGGTGTATAAAACTCACTTGACTTCAACAAGGTAGACAGTGTAATAATCTCGAATATTTAACGACCCATTCGCGCGTCTTTCGGACTCGGAAACCGATATCTCGACATGGTTAAGTAGTGTATCCTGAAAATTAAGCATAATGAACTTCAATGATGATTTTATTAAAATGCAAAATATACTCACTGGTTGTCCGTTTTTAACGAGTGTCAAGCTGTTCTGGTTATTTTCTTCGGTGTTTTCGGTCATTGCGAAAAAGTATTCTTGAACTTGCTACATTTATTTTGACAAGTATACAATCTCTTTGATTTGACTAATTTGCTTCATACAGAGGAAGTACCTGTAGACTACCTTGATCGTAACATTAAAGCACATCTACTATTTGTTTTAAAATGTTTCTAGACTCGAAAAACCAACGAGCACTGACACCCTTTTTTCACTTCACAACATTTTTTAACCTCAAACGTCAAATCAGTGATTGTCACTGACACTAAAATGACATTGATGACAACTGTCGAATCCATCACGCACCACGATACAGGAAGAAAACTGCGACAATATCGGTAAATAATGAGTTCTTTTCAGAAAGTTCACAAATGTTTGAAAGATCTGAAAATGGACTGGAAAAGGACTGAATAAATTTGGTTAAACTGCATGGCGAATATGAAACATTATTGAATTTTAACCAAGCAAACATCAAAACAAAGAAATAATACATATGCTGCTATCTCTTAGTGAGAGGTAGAACAGAAAGTACTGGTGGCGCCACCTAGCGATAATTTGTAAGTAATTAACTTAGTGATGGAACAGTAAAGAATAATGAGTTGGTTTACTTGAATGCAAGTATTCCTCTCTGGAGGGTCGCAAAGTCACTCAGAAACGGAAAGCGAGAACAACTCCCGCACATCCACGGTCCTGAAGGTATTGTCTTCAGAACGGAGGATAAGGTCGAGGTTTTCGCTGATGCCATGGAAAAACAGTTCTCTCCCAACTATAATCTTGATATTGACCTCGACGAGGTACAGCACATCGTACGATCCGCCAGGAGATATTTTAGGGCCAACGGCGTTAGCGGAGGTACTCAATCCTCTTCAGATGACTCTTCTTGCTTTTGGATGTCTCAAAAGCCTTTGACAACGTGTGGCACGCGAGCCTCCTCTATAAACTAATCCAAAAGAGTTTTCCTTTTTGGCTTCGAAAATTACTGAAATCCTTTCTTGAAGGAAGGAAGTTTCGGATCAAAATTAAAAATATTTTGTCAACAACACGGCCAATACGGGCAGTATTGACAGATTCGACTAACGTACATTAGACAGTGACTAATGGGCCAGACAAACAAAAATGACGAATAATACCACAAACACAATTATCCCTTATAAGAATTATAGCCGTTACGCCACTGGTGGGGACTTTATGCCTACAAACGTAGTGCCTGTCTGCCTGTATTTTGTGTTGCCTATCGTGATTAAAACCATATGTTTATGTTTCTCGATGACAATTTATATTTACCAATTAACTTTTATTGCGTAATTGTTTAATGATCCACGGTAATTACACTTCCTCATACACGAAAATCGGTATTGGTGTTCCCGACAATCGACGGTCAGTTAGTAGTTATCGATTCACGGATATCGTGGCATCACGCATCAGATAAAATTATTAATTATTCCAATTCACACGTGACAACTGCGTGGCTCGGTGCTATTGTCTTTATCTTCGCTTTTAGTACACGGCACGTTCGTACGTTCACTCTTGTGCAGCGATCAGCGATTGTCTGGTAGTGTGGAGTGTGGCAGTCAGCCAGTCAGTGAGTTCCAACGTTATCGTAAACAGTTCCGTTTGCTAAAATGGCACTCCGTCGACTTGGAACACAAGCTCAGACCTTCACGTTTCGCCTGAAGACACTATCAGGAGAAAGCGTGTTTTCCAACAAAAACAAAGCATATTTGTCGCTCGTCCTGATGTACAACACCCAAACAAGGAACATCTCGTCGCTGGAAGTCACTAAGAACATCTCTTTGTTGAGTCAGGAGAAAAAAAAATCGAATGTAATCAATCTGAAGTTGGACAGTCCTGAAGGTAAACCGTTGGTTGTGTTGTTATCCTGGCTGATGGCCAAGAAAAAGCACGTTTATAAATACGCAGACATCTATTTAAAAAGAGGTTTCGACGTTTTGAACATCAGCATCAGCCCCTGGCAACTGCTTTGGCCAGCCAAAGGATCGCAAGTTGTTGCGAAAGATCTTCTCAAGTTCCTGGACGTCAACAACACGTATGCCCCATTGGTGTTACATGGATTTTCTGTCGGAGCATACCTTTGGGGTGAAGTGATGGTACAGATAGCATCAGAAAGGGAAAGGTACAACCATGTCGTAGATAGGATCTCGGGACAAATCTGGGATAGTGCAGCAGATGTCACTGAGATATCTGTTGGGGTTCCAGTTGCAGTTTTCCCGAGGAATGCCGTGCTACAAAATGCCTTGAGACAGTACATGCAGTACCACTTGAAAGCATTCGATAGAGTTGCTACCACTCACTACATAAGATCCTCTCAAATGTTCCATACGAATTTGGTGCATGCGCCAGCATGTATGTTTATAAGCAAAACGGATCCTATCGGTACTGAAGCATCAAATCTGAGGGTGAAGGAAAGCTGGGAAAATATGGGCATTCATGTAACTTACAAATGCTGGGACAAATCTCCACATGTGGGCCACTTCAGAATGCACGAGAAAGAGTATCTAGAAGAGTTACATCAGTTCCTGGACAGCATACGATCTGATAATAAAAAGGAAGCAACACAACAAAAGCTGAAAGCCAAGCTCTAATACCCAAGGTAAGAATATGTTGTGCATATTTTACTTCATATGCCATTGGCAAGGAAGTGTTGTAATTGCAAAAATTTTTGAAAATGAACTTATGACATTTAAATCACAAAAAACTATGTCGCTAATTCCATCTGCTGTCTGCTAATTTTTGACCTTGCTATAACTTGGAAAGTACCAGTCGAATGTTGATCAGATTTACACTCTAAGGTGAATGTGCCAGTAACCCACACACTACCACTAGTCAGACAAATGTTAACTTGCTCGTAATTGGTACCAGATTTATCAACTAGTCTGAAATAGCTTACAAAAATTTCACATCCACAGTTGTCACATTGACAGCATTAATGTGTCAAAAAGATAATGCATCAGATTCCTCAATTTTCGTCATTTGTGTAAAGTGACATAAACTTCAAAGACATGTGGAATGGTCAGCCGACAATATACAATGTGTTTGGTCACGACATACTGATATTTAAGGGGTATATTTTTCAGCTATTTTTATCGACAAATCCATCCCCTACAATGAATTAGCACAAAAAGGTACAACTTCAGAGACTAGTTTTTGAATGGTGTGCAGAAATTTTCTTGCATATTTTTGTCTGTTTTTAAGTATGTTTGACGGTTAGTATCAATATAAGTTTTTCAATAATCGCTAGAACAACATGTTATTGTTCAAATGACACCAAATTTATCATTCTGTGACTCTTAAGTTCTCAGTTATTACAATTTTCATACACGCACTAGCGTAATCGTAACGTAAAAATAAAAATGGCTACCACTTCAAGGGGGGTGAGGATGGATTTGTCGCTAGAAATAGCTGAAAAATACCCCCCTTAAATATCGGTATGTCATGACTTAACACATTGTATAAATACTGTTCTTGTTACATATGCAGGAGACATTCAAAATTTACCAAATAAATTAATCTTAATATGTTATTTTAGGATGTGGTCATTATCAATCTATCTTTTTTCTCTTTAAACATAGAGACTATCAAACTTCTCTCTTGGAATTAATCAAACCAAAACATGACTTGAAGCACCAGTCAGTGGACAGACAGCAAAAGATAACAATGTTGATTATGGCTAGAGTCTGATAATGGGAATAAACATTTTCATAGCATCCCAATATCCGCATTTTTCACGCGACTGAAATATACTTTCACATTTCCACTTCATTTGGGATACCAAGAAAAAAATAAATTCTGTATTTACCAGGTGATTCTAAAAGGTGGCTCAGCCCTATAACTTTTTTATTATTGAAGATAGATGAATTTACATTTCTGGAAATATTCACTTGGTTTGACGTACTTCCGGTTTCATCATTCGATGTTTAAATGGGACAACCTATATGTTTACTTATTTCGATCGAGAATGACATTCTGAATTCAACAATATATCAATTGACAATATTTGACAAATAAAGTCATTTTTATTTCAATTTTGACTTCTAGATCTAGAATGCCATGGTTCCTGTAAATCGCTTCATTTTTGATCAAATAACACGGGAAAATACGATTTTAAGGCGAACGACCTCACGTTTTAAGGATTTTCTAAAAGTTACAAACGCTTTTTTTTCAGTTTCCTTGATTTTTTCAACTAGAAGGAGGTGGCTCGTCGAGACCATTTTCTTACGAATAATTTGACACTACACACTCTTATTTTATTTTCACTATTTTTTTGAATAATTTTAAGAAAAAAATTATTTGTTACATAGCTAATTTACAATGGAAAACTATACTAGAAACAAGAAAGTTGAGATGCTGTTGATTTACGGGGCAGCAAGAAAAATTGCAACTCAGACAGCTTGAATTGAGAAAATGCCAGTAACTTAATTGTCGGTGAAAAAAAAGTTCATTTTTGTCTAGGTTATATGTATTTTTTATAAAAATATCTGTATTAACTGGACTCAGTATGAGTGTGTTTAATTTCTTTTCCTCAAAGTCTTAATGATAACTGAAATTTGAAATTTCTATTCTACTATCACTAATTTTTAAATAAGGTTTTGTCTTATACTGGTCAATCAAATGCAAATTGGTGAATAGCACCTTTCTGATTAATATTTTTATATAAAATACAGGAATATCTATAAGCAATGTATTTGAAGCCAACCAGCAGAAATACGTATCGCTCGGGTTATCTATCCTATTTTCTGCTCGAATCCACTTTCTCCGCTTGATCATTTTCTCTCTCTCTATATATATATATACAGGGTGTTTCAGTTTATTGTTGCATAACTTTAAGATTCTATAGAACTTTTAAAATCAATGCATAAAGTCTATATAAACATGGGTCGAAAAATGCGTGGCTTCCGAAATACAGGGTGTTTAAATTTACTTTCTAAAATAGTTTTTTTTTTAAATATTTCGAACAATATTTGATGTATAACAGTGAAAATTGATATACAAGGGTTTTTTGGTATGGCAAAACGAACCATGGGCATAGTTTTACTGTAGCCGCTAGAGGGCACTCTCTACTGTACCTGTAGTGTATTAAAATGACCGAAATTTTTTTCTTAGTGCAATTTTTTGCTTTTTGAATAAAAAACTGATTTTTTTGTAACTTTGGCAGTCCCTAATTTCATGGGTATCAACCCTAGGTTATTTTCTAAATTCTTCAACGTTATCGTACCATGGATTCCTGTGATTCCTGGGAACCTGTAAAATAATATATTCGAAAGAAAATCTTATTTTAGCGTGCAATTAAGAATAAAGTAAACGAAGATTACATACATAGTTTCTTGTCTAATTGCTCGAGGCTTAGTCAAACGAATAAAGTTTGCGTATCGGACGTTTCAAATTACTTATATGCACTTTTCCGTGCTGGTAACGTCGTGACGGTCTTTTTCTCCGTATTAACACTTTGGCTTTGAGAATTTGTTGGCGTGCTTTTTTCTAACATGCTTTTTGACGTATTCTGTTTCTCGGTTATCAAGTATAGTCGGACTATCGCAATCTCTGTTAACGCGTTCTAGCGTTTTCTCTTTGTTTTGAATGAGATCAGAATTTTTTTTGTGAATACAATAGCTTTGTACGCTCTTTGTGGCTGTTGGTATAGTCATTGAGGAGTAACTGGTCGATTTTGATATCGAATGGTTCATTCGACGTAATATGTCCATTGATTATATCTATAGGTTTTAATTTTGTGTCAGAATGTAAGGTGTGGTTGTAGGCTAAAATGGCATACAACATTTAAAAACATGGGATGTTAACCATAAATATTCCATCAAAGTAGCATTACTGTACTACCTAAAATTTGATAATCAGTTTTCAATATAAATTATTAGGTATGGCCACAATGATCCTAAAAAGAGCAGAGACTTAACAATTCTTGAGTCCTTGGCCGCGTGGTACCCACATCTCTGGTCGGGTAGGTGTTAGAAAGAGACAACGAACTAGTGCTAGAGCGAGATGTGTGTAATTATAAGTTATTTGTTGTGTTGTTAATTAAAAAGTACGCCGTCAGTTGATGATTTTGCACTTACAGTACCATTATGATATCTGTCGTCTCACTCTTTGAATAAGTCGACGATAATTGACTTTTATTGGACTTGGATTCTTTTTCGATTTGGTCTGCTGTTTGGAATTAGACCTGGGCTCTGTTAGAGGTGCTAGGCGCGACGATTTAAACATCGTTTTTAAACACTTTATTGGAACTATTCATATTTTGTCATCTTTTTGTAAAGATTGGTGCGTGATATTTCTTAAAGTCTTTGTTCTTTGCTTCTTGGGGCGCTTCTGAAAGATGACCTGCAATCGATTAGGAGTACCATAATAGTGAATCAATAAATTATAATACCACAAGAGTCCGGAAATTTTTTGTTAGTCCAAAGTTATCTAGGACTGCAAGGACCAAATATTTTGTTAAAAAAGATAAATATGCTATATAATATGAGCAATAAAATAGATAAAAAAGTACTTACCACTAGTAACATTTTCCATGGATAATAATCCTTCAAAATATTTAAAGAAAAACAAAAATTGTTTACTTTTCATTCCACTTGATGATTAATATTACTGATTAAATATGATACCAGTTTCACGAGTAATTTTAACAGCTTAGCGGAAGGGGAAAACAAATGCGCTCTGATCGAAACGGTAAAAAGGCAGCAGTGACGAAAATTTGCCATTACCACTTCTACTGACGTAATTTAGGTCCAAATAAACATAAATCGATGCGGTTTTCACGTAGTTCGATTGTATTACGGGATTTCTATGTACTGTAAGAGTTTTATCTCCCTCCTCCAAAATCTTCCTCAAAGTGAGGAGAAACGCGAAAAAATTGATATTACATTAAAATAAACCTGGAGAAATGCGGTTTTCACGTCAATTGATTAGAAAAAGCACATTTTACTTACGCTAAGTTCAAATCCGTGCTATCTCGTTCACAGATACCGCAAATTGACCCCCCTTTAAAACCTAATATTTTAGAAGCTATATAATCATCTATAGCTTTTCAAAACCGCCCAAGACCAAAATGTTTTGGACACTTCTCGCATGTATATGATCTAGTCAATCACACCATATCAGCCGTTTCCCCAAACCAAGTCCGGAACCCTCCGTTTTTGACCCCTCTTTATTTATACATGACAAATTTGAAAAATCTATTATTCGTCAAAACAGCCGAAGATCCAAAATTTTTTTACATTTCTGACATCAATATAATCTACCGTATCACTCCCTACTAGCCGTTTCACCAAACCAAGTCCGGAACCCTCCGTTTTTGACCCCTCTTTATTTATACATGACAAATTTGAAAAAATCTATTATTCGTCAAAACAGCCGAAGACCCAAATTTTTTTTACATTTCTGGCATCAATATAATCTACCTTATCACTCCCTACTAGCCGTTTCCCCAAACCAAGTCCGGAACCCTCCGTTTTTGACCCCTCTTTATTTATACATGAGAAATTTGAAAAAATCTATTATTCGTCAAAACAGCCGAAGACCCAAAATTTTTTTACATTTCTGGCATCAGTATAATCCACTTTATCACACCCTACTAGCCGTTTCCCCAAACCAAGTCCGGAACCCTCCGTTTTTGACCCCTCTTTATTTATACATGAGAAATTTGAAAAAATCTATTATTCGTCAAAACAGCCGAAGACCCAAAATTTTTTTACATTTCTGGCATCAGTATAATCCACTTTATCACTCCCTACTAGCCGTTTCCCCAAACCAAGTCCGGAACCCTCCGTTTTTGACCCCTCTTTATTTATATACATGAGAAATTTGATAAAATCTATTATTCGTCAAAACAGCCGAAGACAGAAAATTTTTTTACATTTCTGGCATCAGTATAATCCACTTTATCACTCCCTACTAGCCGTTTCCCCAAACCAAGTCCGGAACCCTCCGTTTTTGACCCCTCTTTATTTATACATGACAAATTTGAAAAAATCTATTATTCGTCAAAACAGCCGAAGACCCAAAATTTTTTTACATTTCTGGCATCAGTATAATCCACTTTATCACTCCCTACTAGCCGTTTCCCCAAACCAAGTCCGGAACCCTCCGTTTTTGACCCCTCTTTATTTATATACATGAGAAATTTGAAAAAATCTATTATTCGTCAAAACAGCCGAAGACCCAAAATTTTTTTACATTTCTGGCATCAGTATAATCCACTTTATCACTCCCTACTAGCCGTTTCCCCAAACCAAGTCCGGAACCCTCCGTTTTTGACCCCTCTTTATTTATACGTTACATGACAAATTTGAAAAATTCTATTATTGATATTGCTTAATAATTAGAAAATTATATGCTCTGTAAAATGGAAAGGCACAATGGAACCGATTTTGATAAACTTTGTCACAATAATAAAATTACTGTTTTTGGGGGTGCCTGCACTTCTTCCACAACATGTTTCAATATCTAATTTATATTTTTGTGTGTCATTTATGTTGTTAGTTTTTATATTTGTATTTATATGTTTGTGTACCGCATACCTTTGTCAATTGGATATTATTTTTATTAGGATTATTGTTACTCCCGACAGGAAACACCCTCAACCTTTACGAAGAGTAACAGGTAAAAGCGACCTATCTACTGCATTTGTCGGCACCACACTTCCATATTTCAGGATTTAATAACGTTTTATGAACAGTATACCTCTGTATTGTTGAATTTGATCTCACCCGTCTTGTTTTACTCAAGTACAGATTACTTTAGTTAGATTTTAACATTTAATCATCTAACATTAACATCTGACAATATTCTAAAATCACAGCTATACGAGTTATGATTATGTTTGAAATTCCATGTAATATAAACGAGGGTGGTGAAAAATGAAGTACTTGCTTTGGAAAAACAGATGGTATGATGTGAGAGAGTACGTTATATTGATGCCAGAAATGTAAAAAAATTTTGGGTCTTCGGCTGTTTTGACGAATAATAGATTTTTCAAATTTGTCATGTATAAATAAAGGGGGGTCAAAAACGGAGGGTTCCGGACTTGGTTTGGGGAAACGGCTAGTAGGGAGTAATAAGGTAGATTATATTGATGCCAGAAATGTAAAAAAATTTTGGGTCTTCGGCTGTTTTGACGAATAATAGATTTTTTCAAATTTGTCATGTATAAATAAAGAGGGGTCAAAAACGGAGGGTTCCGGACTTGG